TATTATTACTTTCGGCTTCTACCCCGCTCGAACCCCCTAGGGGGTCTCTGAGCGGCTTACAGTTACTCTGTTATCCCTAACTATGGCCACATCTGAATTGGGGTGGGGACTGCCCTACCAGCACCCTGTAGATGGCGCTGTTGTTCTTCTTGATCTTACAAGCATGGACTGCTTCAAAAGGGAATTAGATAAGCATATGGAGCAGAGGTCCATCAGTGGCTATTCGCCACAAGGTATAGATAGGGGCTCTGGGGCAAGTGATGCTCTGTCTTCTTGGTGCTTGGGGGGGTCAACAGTGGGAGGGCTTCTAATGTCCTGGCCCCACTGGTGGACCTCCTGATGGCACCTGGTATTTCTGGCCACTGTGTGATACAGTGTTGGACTGGATGGGCCTTTGGCCTGATCCAACACTGGCATCTCTTATGTTCTTATGAGGCGAAAGACCTCACGGGGGTATATATAACACCAGAGTCCACCCTCCAAAGCAGGCCTTTTCTCCAGTTTGCTCTAGTGGGTTTGGTGTAGTGTAGTGGTTTGGTATAGTGATTTTTTCCAGTTTGGTGTAGATTTTTTCCAGTTTGGTGTCGTGGTGAAGTGCGTGGACTCTAATCTGGGAGAGCCGGGTTTGATTCCCCACTCCTCCACTTGCACCTGGCTGGATGACCTTGGGCAAGCTGTAGTTCTGATAAGAGCTGTTCTTGGAAAAAAAGAGCAGTTTCTGTCAGAGCTCTCTCGGCCCCGCCGACCTCACAGGGTGTCTGTTGTGGGGAGGGGAAGGGAAAGGAGTTTGTAAGCCGTTCTGAGACTCCTTTGGGTAGTGAAGGGCGGGGTAGAAATCCAATCTCTTCTTCTTCTTCAGGGGAACTGACACGTGTTATCTGGAGATCAGTCATAATTCCAGATCTCCAAGCCCAGCATGAAGGCCGGCAGTCTTAAAAAGGGGACACCCTGGCAGAAGAAAGGGAGAGTGCCAGAGCACCGGAAGTCATACGTTCCGTCCAGCACCCACTTTTATACTGCCCCCTCCCTCCCTCATCTGCAAACAACTTCACAAGGGAAGCCCACCAGAACTCCCTTTAGGTGGTCCGGGCTCCTGTGCCGGCCCACAGAGGCGCAGGCTTTCTGTCTACATGGAGAAAGAAGGCTGCCTGCCTTTCCATGCCCAGGTGAAGATATGCGGAACTGGCAAAACGGGTTCCGGGGCTCAAGCCCCAAACAGGTGAGGGGGGGGGTACACTCAGCAGCTTTCCATCTTGGACAGCAGCGCTCCAGGGTCCCTGGGGCTTCCCGATTTCCAGTTCATGTTCCACTAATCTTCAGTTCAGAGTCTCTCCCCCCGCACAACCCCAATTGTGGAAAGGGCCGTCGGCCACCTGGAAAAGCTGCAATCCTGCAGTTGAGGAGGGCCGTCGTGCTAGCGTGGCAGTCCAAGGCAGAGACTCCTCGTCACACTGGAGTAAGCCACTTGGTGTCGTGGTGAAGTGCGCGGACTCTAATCTGGGAGGACCGGGTTTGATTCCCCACTCCTCCACTTGCACCTGCTGGATGACCTCGGGCAAGCCATAGTTCTGACAAGAGCTGTCCTTGAAAAAGAGCAGTTTCTGTCAGAGCTCTCTCTGCCCCGCCTACCTCACAGGGTGCCTGTTGTGGGGAGGGGAAGGGGAAGGAGTTTGTAAGCCGTTCTGAGACTCCTTTGGGTAGTGAAGGGCGGGGGATTAATCCAATCTCCTCCTCTTCTTTGTTGAATGGGGGTGTGAAAGGAGTAAGACCGACACGCGGAAGCAGTCGGATTCTGGTTTATAAACCCTCGCTAGGGCAAAACACGCTGTACAACCTCTTTTAACTTCGAAGAAACAAAGCTCCAGACTTATGTAAAAAAAAAAAAAAAGATTAATGCATGTCATTTTTCAACAGATAAAGTGAAAAAAGCAGCATAAATACAATTTTAAATATATATATAAATCAAAGAGGAGGAAAGGGTGGGTAAGATTTAAACCTTACACACACCCCCTTTGCCTCTTAAAAAAAGTTCACATTTTCTTTTTTTGGACAACCGATGCAGGCATAAATAAATAAGGGAGGGGAGGGGGGGGAGAACGAAACCATGGGGGGGGGGGAAGAAGAAGAAATTGTCAGAACGGGGGGCAAGTCCATAGTCTGAGGAGAAGGAGGCGCTATGACATTAGGTGGAGTCGGAACAGAGGGAGGTGTGCTTCTTGCTGTGGGTGTGTGTGGTGTACGGTGTGGTGGGTGGGGGTGGGGTGAGGGGACAGTTTGATTATCAGAGCTTGGCCGTAGAAACAGAGATCCAGTTCTGGCTCTGTTTACTCACAGGAGTGCTTTCCACACAGGCACTCCCTCCCCAGAAGGGACTGCATCACTCACATGCCAAACAACTTGGGATTGTCCAGGACCACCTTAGGGACGCACATAAATGGTGCCAAAAACCAGAGGAGAGGAGGGAAGTCCACCTCCGCCGAGAATCCCAAACACAAACGGTTTTTAAAACAAAGACGGACAGACACCGAAGGAAGGCAGGAAGAGTGACCCCGACATCCCGAGTCCCCCTGTGCTCTTTTCTGGGAGGGGTGACTGAACCCCCCCCGCTCCTGCTGACTGCCGATGGGTTCGGCCCAAAGGCCCCCCCCCCCGATTCTGAATTGTCGC